TCCTTTAACTTTTATCTACACTCAATCCCATCCATCAGTTGGCGGGGGGGGGGGGGGGGTTCTGATTTAAGTGACATAGAAAGTTTACTTCTCTTCCTCTCCCACAACCACATAAAAATTGAAATCACATTTTCCCAAATCCTTCTTACATCCATAATAAAGACTGGATGTTTTACAGGTTATACAATCACCCTAGATTTAAGCTGTGTATAGAGTAAGGAACCAAAACCATCAGTTTGGGATGTCATTTCTCCTAGACCAGCCACATGGGTAGGTCCGCCTAGGTAGTCTGCTTATTCCAACTGGGCTAGCAAGGTATCCAAAACCTTGAATACTGTGCAAACTTCAGTAAATTTTCTCCATTAACCCAAACTGTGGTCAAGATTTAGTCACTTAATAAACATCTAAAACACAAACCGAAGCCTGAATACAAAGCACTGGCATTCCCCCAAAAATGCAAATTTGTCTCCTGCCCCTAAAATAAACCTCTGTAGGAAAGTCAGACCCCAACCACGACAGTGTAAGTGAAGACCAGCGAGAACAAAGACACTAGGATTTGCACCCCTTCACAGATATCCCACTTGACACGTGACACAACAATCCTGTGAAATAATAGGCTATCTCCATTTTTACCAGTTTGCTCAATTAACAAGCAAAACCTGAATCTTCTGAGCCCTGATCGTACGATGCTCTAAAATGTGTATTAAGCTTATTATTACCATAAAGGACAGTAACAAAAATCACAGTAAGTCTTTCAAAGGTTCTAAATATCCACAGAGAAAGGAAACGGTAAAAGATTAGTTTCCTGCCTTATGAAATAAGAAGGCCGGACTGGATCAGGTGATCACAGAAGGAGCATTCCAGGAAACCCTCCCACCACCACTCTCTGGGACCGCACGTCCCAAACAAACCCTGATGCTGGGGACAGCACGCACTCTTTCCCACCAAGCCCAGAAATGCATTTATGTCCATATCAACAAGAGAGCCACTACCAAGAGAAGAGGAGCAAAATGTAACCTACTTACCATCCCTGAACTAGAAGAGGCCCAGAAAGGTAAAGCAGACTACCCAAAAGTTATATATATAACTAGTCTAAGACAGAGCTGAGCCCCGAAACAAGAGGAGCAACGTTACTGTAGACAGCTATACAGCATGCATCTCCTCTTCCATAATCATGTGACCCCCTCTACCCAGTCAATAACCATCCCCATTTTTACATAATTTAAGATCAGTGAAATCATGGGATTAGCTCCAGGTTCTCCAGCTAGCCAGTGGCTTGGATGAACCCTCACCAACCCCATCTCGCCTTTTCTTTCTAAGGTGAGAAAGACACAAAGCAGTGAAGAGAAGCGTGGACCATTTACATATAATACGGACCCATGAATGTCAACCCAAAACTCTTCTGAGCTCTTCTAACCACAAGCTTACATGCAATTGTGTTACATCACACAAGCTCCTCCTTCCATAAAAAAAGATCTTGGGGGGCGCCTGGGTGGCTCAGTCGTTAAGCATCTGCCCTTGGCTCAGGTCATGATCCCAGAATCCTGGGATCGAGCCCCGCATTGGGCTCCCTGCTCAGCGGGAAGCCTGCTTCTCCCTCTACCACTCCCCCTGCTTGTGTTCCCTCTCTCGCTGTGTCTCTGTCAAATAAATAAATAAAATCTTTAAAAAAAAAAAAAAAGATCTTGGGGCGCCTGGGTGGCTCAGTCGGTTAAGCACCCTCCGACTCTTGATTTCAGCTCAGGTCACGATTTCAGGGTGGTGGGATCAGCCCTGCATTGGGCTCTGTGCTCAGTGGGGAGTCGGAGTCTGCTTGAGATTCTCTCCCTCTCCTTCTGCCCCTCCCCCTGCTTGTGTGTTCTCTAAAACAAATAACTTTTTTTTTAATAAATAAATCTTTAGGGGTGCCTGGGTGGCTCAGTCGTTAAGTGTCTGCCTTCGGCTCAGGTCATGATCCCAGGGTCCTGGCATCGGGCTCCCTGCTCGGCGGGAAGCCTGCTTCTCCCTCTCCCACTCCCCCTGCTTGTGTTCCTGCTCACGCTCTCTCCCTCTGACAAATAAATAAATAAAGTCTTTAAAAAATAAATAAATATTTAACCAACTAGTTAAAAAAAAAGCAATCATTCAAAATGCCTACACTCTATTAACATTACATATGTGCACACGTACCCTCCAACACAAATCATCTTATACTTTGGAAATATTACAGAAATGAAAAATAGTAGAACCAAAAAGCTGGATGTCATGGTAACAAAACTACCAGTTTTTTGGGCCTCTGTCTTCTCGCTGTATTGTCTAAGGAAATACACTTTCTCAGTTCTTAAAGCATCTTCTTTAAACAAAGTATTAGCCAGTAATTCCATATACAGCTTTTTATATGTGTACAATGCCTTTAAGATTGTCTCAGGAATGTAAACCATCATCCAGTCCCCTTCTTCCTGGGAATATCACACCCACTGAGCCTGCGATTCCTGAAATTGAAGTCATCTGAGAGATCTTATCACAAATACTTAAATGGCAACATATTCATCATATCCTCTCTTCGGAACTCTGACCAACTTAATGGAAATTACTGCCCATGCATTCCTATTTCTGGATGCACTTTAAACCATCGTACCCCTTAATACAAAGACTCAATGTAATACCGTAACACTTATGTCCTACTGTACTTAAAAGCATCGAGATGAAATCATATTAACATAACCTGAAAAGCCCTTTCTTAAGCACCGAAATATCCCAAAGCTTTTTGCATCCAGCACAAGAACCTTTTACTTCCACACCAAAGCAGCCTACTTTCCCGGGGATCTAAGGAAACGTGTACAGAGGAGTTGCACAAACCACCTACCAAATAATCCAATGCCTACCAAGTGAAAAGCTGATCCTCTTTTGTGTTCTTCAATTATTCAGAATTCGCCTACAAAGGATCCCTGTAGACTACCTGAATGAACCTTTCTGACCTGTGAACCATGTTTTGCTTTTATGTTACCAGAAAGCATCAGTATGATCCTCCCTCTCCAAATTTAGTAAGGAACAGAGCAGGAAGCTTAGAAATTACAAATTACTCTGCATTAGAAAAGGAACTCTTTTTTTTTTTTTTAAACTTTGGGTTTTTTTTTATAATTTTTTTTTTTTTTTAAAGATTTTATTTATTTATTTATTCATGAGAGACAGAGGGAGAGAGAGAGAGAGAAGCAGAGGGAGAAACAGGCTCCCAAGGAGCAGGGAGCCCGATGCGGGACTCGATCCCAGGACTCTGGGATCATGACCTGAGCCGAAGGCAGATGCTTAACCATCTGAGCCACCCAGGCGCCCTAGAAAAGGAACTCTTAAGTGAAGACGTAATTTACCTGTGACACCTTGGCAACTGCACAGGACAGTGATCAAGCCTCACTGAATTCCCAAAACTTCACTTTTTTTTTTTTTTGGTTCATAACCTCTGAATCAGAAAGCTTTATGATTTTATTTTAAAATACCCCAGTTTTCGCTGTTCTACATTTCTCAATGTTGAGATAAATTTACCCCAAATTTGGGGGAAAAAACAAAAAACCTTGTAACTTCTGGTCTGCAAGACTCCCTACAGCACTGAGTCTTTTAAAACAGATCAGCAATACATGGTCTTAGAAGATATAACGTTACATATGTTTTATTACAGTTCCTGCGTTTTCAAGGACATCAGTACCCGGATTAAAAAAAACAACAACAAACATGCTCAAACCCATGGTTCAAGTTTTTCCAGCCGTATTTTACAGAGATTATGCGTTTTGGTCTGCACGCCATAATTACATTTTAAACTGATCCATTACATTTTAAAATAAGTTGTGTGGAATGACTAAGGGAAAGGGGTCACTTAGAGATACGGCATTAAACACATTTTTAAGGCCAACAAAATGAGGGTTTGTAACTTGGAATCAGAGAAAACAGCATTCAAATTCCCAGAAAGCTGAAGTGAAAAACACAGCCATGTCACACAAAAACATACTTAAAAATAAAAATGGTAAAGTGTTCAAGCTTGATAGAAAAAAAAAAAAAAAGAAAACCAGCGTTTCAAATGGAAACTACTCCAATTGGGAAAGAATCCCAATGACATGACATTTTCTCGCCAAAGCGAAGGCATCTGAAGGCTCTATCGCTGAAATCTCATTGTATGGCGTTATGAAGATCTTAGCAGCGGCTGGCCAGGAATCTCCAACACAAAGGGGCCTCCGCCGCGAGGGCAGAGAGAAACCACCTCCCCCCCGAGGCCGGCGCGCGGGCCCCCGCGGGACCCCCGGCGGCGGCGCCGGGAGGCCAGTGCTCCCCGAGCCCTGCGCCAGCCTCCGGGGCGCGGGAAGCCCAGCGCATCCCCGCGCAGCCTCTCCCACGAGCAGGGCAGGCCGAGAGGAAGCGCAGCTCCGCGCGACACCCCGCGCTGCCGCCGCAACCCCGCGTCCCGACGGCATGCTGGCGCCTCGACTCCGGGGCGGCCCCGGGGGCAGCCAGAGGGGAGCGGCCCCTGCAGTGCCTCGCGGTCGCCCCGGACGCCAGCGCGCCCTCCAGACGCAGGCCCGCGCCGCGCCCGGTCACCTTCCCCAGCGTTCGGCGCCCACCGCGCCGCGGCTGCCGCACACTCGGGGCTCCCAAACTTTTCTGTCCCCCCCGCCCCCCCCACCCCCGGTTCCAGCTGGGATGAAGGCGCACGACTCCTCACCTCCGCCCGAAACAATACCCGTCTCCCGGCAACGCGCACGCAGGGGCCCGCGACCCCCTCCCCATCCCCATCCCCGGGCCGGGCCGAGGCGCGCGGGTGGGGGAGGGGACCGGCCGAGCAGGGCCTCGGGGACGGCAGGCGGCGCCGCGACAAGACCCAGAGCCGGGCCGCGGCGGGTGCGGAGCGAGGCCCGAGGGACAAAGGGACGGAAGCGCCGAGGCCGGGCGGCGCCCGCCGGGGATGGGGGCCTCCGCGGGGTCGCGGCACTAGCCGCACAATGGCCCGCCGCCCCCGCCCGCACCCACGCCCTCACCTCATGGTGCCGGCGGCCCGCGGCTCCCCGGCGGCCGGGGACGCGGGGGGCGCGAGCCGGGGCCTCTCCTCCGGGGGCGGGGACGCGGCTGGCGGACGGCGGACGGCGGCCGGCGCGCGGCTCCTCCTCCGGCGGCCGGCGCTACACCATGTCCCCGCACAAAGCGGCGGCGCCGGCCGAGCGCGGGAGACGCGGCGGAGGCCGCGAGGCTGCGAGGGCGGGGGCCGAGGCGGGCGGGCCGCCGGCTGTGCGTCGTCGCCCTACGGGAGCGCCCAGCCGCTCTGGGAGGAAGCCCGCCCGCGGGCCGAGTGCAGGCAGCGCCGCAGCCGCGCAGGAGAGCCGCTAGCGCCGCGCGGGGCCGGGGAGGCGGGGCGCGCGGCCGGGGAGCACGCAGACACCGCCCTCGCTCCCGCCCCGCCCCCTCCCCCTCCTACTCCTCCTCCCCGCCCTCTCACCCCCACCCCCGGGGCGGGGGCGGGGGCGGGGCGGGGGGCGCGCGGCGAGGGGCGCGCGGCGAGGGGCGGGGCGGGGCGGGAGCGCCCCCGCGCCGGCCGCCGAAACCCGCGGGCCTGTGGAGCGCGCTCGGCGGAGTCCTTTTGTGGCCTCAGGCCCGCCGCCTGCGCTCCCTCGCGCCGGGCCTGCGGGGCGCTGCGGGGGCTGCGGGCTCCCCGGCTGGTGCCTGGGCGGGGGCGGGGCGCCTAATCGCCACCCGGGGGCCGCATTGTCCTCCGGGGCCGCCCGCGCGCCGCTCCAGCCGGGAGACAGGCACACCGGGGGCGGGCATGACCTCATCGCCGAGCGCACGCGGTCCCGAGCGGGGGGCTGCCGCCGGGGGGCGCGGGCCGGGCCGGGGGGTGAGGGGTTGGGGGCGACCCCGCGACAAGGGGTCAAGGGTCCCGTCTTTCACGGGGCTCCCAAGTCACCTGCTTGGAGAGGTCGCTGCGGAGTGTGGGCGCCGCAAACTCGTGGAAATCCACGGGGGCGGGGGCCGGCCTCCAGCAAGGCAGAATTGATGGTGTGGGAGGTTGTCGGCCTCCAAAAGCAAATCCACTAATCAAGTAAGAATTCAGACTGGACAAATGGCAGGCGTCCCGTAGTCCTGACGACGAGGAGGAGGAGCGGGGGTTGGGGGGGGACCGGGGGATCCACTGTACAAAAGGTGGCTGGGATGGAAAAGGTCCCCTGCTAGCAGGTTCCAATCGCCGCACCATCCGGTCCAAAATGGAGGACCTAGCATGACTCCAGGAATCTGTGCAAAAGTTTTGGTGTGTTCTTTTAAGATGGACGTACAATTCGCGCTGCAGCTCTGACAGTTGCGATCATTTGCACTTGGAAAAGAAAAGCAAGTGAGCGACAGTCATGCTTGGTCAATGCCTGACTCCTCTCTAATGGAACAGTGCGGCCCAGTTTTCACCGTAAAAAACTTCCTGGTTTCAGACCGGACACTGAGGGGTTTTCTTTTCAGAACCTGCAGCCCCAACCGACAGCCCTATAGAAGCAGTGGCCTGGAGCTATGGCACAGGACCAGGGCGGCCTCAGGGAGTAAAAAGCTCCGCGTGTCTGCTTTAACACGGTGTACTTGGAGAACACTAATTTCCACCCACATACCTAATTACAGCTTACCGCCACAGAGTATTTTATTCAGGGATCTCCAAGCACGGAGGGAGAACAGCCTTGCCAGTCAACTGTCCTTGTTGCCATATTGCAAGCACAGACAGGGACACAGCTCAAGGGCTGGGTGCGTCCGGGCGTTAGAGACCACAGCTCCTCACTAGGAGGTTCACCGCCTTACCATCCACATAAAAGACACGCAACCTCAAAGATGATCCTCCAAATCAACCAAAGACCCTTTGCTGTGGAGGCCTTTTTCTTGGAAAAGTAATAAGACACGCGGAACCATCTTGGGGGAGGTATTAATAAGACATAACTCGACCACAAAGAACTCACACCAATTTGCCCAATTTGCCCTGGTCCATTCACAGCACTACAGTAAATCCAGCAGAGCTATGTTTCAGGGAAAACTCTCACAAAGGGCCAAAAGGGGGTGGAGGTTTTGCTGTAATGACTCAAACCACCTCCTGCCAGAAAATGCTTTACAGATGACTCCATAACCTACTTCTCGTTTGTGAAATGTAATCCATCCCGCACTCAGTAAGCGATCTATCACATCATCTTTGTCCTAACAGCAAACATTCCAATGCTATAGGCACCAAATTAAGCAATCTGGGTGGAAAAGGCTGCTCTTATTGTCTACGCGTTTATTAAAAATGTACCAGCCAAGAATCTTGGCTGCCTACGACCATTTCCTTCCCTTGGCGTGGCAGCTCTCCAGCTCTCGAGTCGGGCGTACCATTGCCCTTGGCTTTAGATATTGCAATGGGTGGCCCGACCTCCAAAGGTCATTCTGTGGCAGGGCAATTTGTTGCTTGTGACAAAATGTTGTTGCTCCTCGTTCATATTTGGTTTAACAGTCAAAGAGGGGCAAAGAAAAGCTTGAGCTGGGAAATCACAGACGAATTCTGGTCACAGAGGAAACTTTGTGGAATGTGTTTCCATCTAGAATAAAAGAATTTTAGAGATGGAAAGAATCTTAAGTCCCTCCCACTCGTTTTTCCAAAAGGGGAAAGGGAGACCCAGAGAGGTTAGATAAACTGCCCACTGTCACACAGCCACTTTGTGGTGGGACTTAAACCCAGGATTCCCGTTGACAGGTATAGTCCTCTTTCCGCCACCTCATACCACCTAACTATGGCAAAAGTAACGGTGGGGTGAGGCGGTCAGAGTTGAAGCTGGTCCTCTTCTCATAAACCCTGCTTAAAAATTAGCTGGGATTATGTGTGGCTTGGCAGGATGGCAAAAAATGGTTTGAACTCCTCTTGGAAGGGTTGCCCAGCCGGAAGCCGCAATGCCTGGCCTTTACGTAGGCACCCAGACATTTGAAAGGTGAAGGCAGGCAGGCAGGCATGTCTACCTGCTCTAACTGAAGATGAAGAGGAGACTCTTCATCAAAAGGAATGGATTCTCTTCTTAAGGCTTCTTAAGTGTGTGAGCCTCCACTCCCCCTCCTCCAGCAACACCCCAACTGAATAGGACCGTAGGAGCCCTAGGTATTCACAACCTTGATGCTGGTCTACACATCTGTTAGCAGTGTGCACCCAGGCGTAAGATGAAACAAAACCCATGCCTCTGCTGAAGATGAGTTGGCTGCAGGAGTGTTGTCAGTCTGGCTCAGAGGGTTCTCTCAGAACACGCCTTGTTTAAATCCGTCTGATAGCATCAGTGTGGGCTTGTCCTCCATTTATGGGCATGAGGAGGATGCATGACTAATGCTACTCACCAGTCAGGAAGTCAGTGCTAAGGATTGTAGGCACGGTCTCCCCGGCACCCAGAAAAGGGCTCTCCCCTGAAAAATTAGGAGTTACTTAGGGACGGGTGGGGAAGAGCAGGTAGTTTAGAGTGAACGTGATTGTACACTTTCTTCTTCTATGTATCAGTGTTTTTTCTTTTGTGGCAATTAATTCACGGCATATTTTTTGTTTATCTCTCCAAGAAGGGAAAAAAGAAATAATGTAGAACATGATATTCCAGTAGGATTCAAGATATTTTTCTTACTCATCTTTCAGCTCTGGCTGCCCATATATAATCTGGGTCCTAAAATATTATCAGAAGACATAGACACGAGAGGAAAGTATTTGCCTCTGACATTTGCATTTTTCTCCCATTTGTCATTTTTCTCCCTTCCAAATTAGGATTTATTCAGTTAATCTCATTTCCTCTTCCCAGAGTCTCTTTTCTTAGTGCTTCACTGTGGAAACTTGACAGAAGATTCCTAAATCCTGAACGGTCACACTGGAGTAACATTAATTGGTAGACACCATATTCTATAAAATGCAATACATTTTTTCCATAGAATTCAGCCACAGCTTTGGTTTAAAGATTACTGGGGGGGAGGGACAGAGGGAGAGAATCCCAAGCAGACCCCACACTGAGTGGGGAGCCCAGTGCAGGGCTCAACCTCACGACCCATGAGATCATGATCTGAGCCAAAAGCAAGACTCAGATGCCCAACCAACGGAGCCCCCTGGCGCCTTGGCCACAGCTGCTATTTAAAGAATACGGCAGGTGGGCTCCAGTTCTAAAGATTGATTGATTGATTGATTCGTGAGAGAGAGCGAGCAAGCACAAGCAGAGGGAGTGGGAGAGGGGGAAGCAGGCTTCCCGCTGAGCAGGGAGCCCAATGTGGGGCTCGATTCCAGGACCCTGGGATCATGACCTGAGTGGAAGGCAGACAATTAACTGACTGAGCCACCCAGGTGCTTCCCCTGCTCTTTTGTAGGATTTTTTTTTTTATATATAGGTGGGCTCCAGTTCTAGATAACACTCAAATCATGGTGCTTTACAGATTGGATTAAAAAGAAGCACCACCACAATCTAATTCTGAACTTTCACGTCTTCTAAGATCTGCCGGTAGCTTGGGAAGAACTAGTGGTTTCCCTCTTTCTTGCATTGGCACTGATGTACTTGTCCCATTTACTGTAGTCTGACTCGAGAATACCAACCAATCATCTTAGGTACATTATGATCAGGTGACAACTGAGCTTGGAGTCTTTCCTCAAAGGGGATCAGGAGGAAAGTTAATAAAGAAAAGATGATTTTCTCCCTAATCGCGGTAGCGAAGAAAGATAGTTACCACTAGGCTATATCCTGAATGAGCAAGCTGTCCAAAATGAATCCACACGGCTTCACGCCACACTTGTCTGTGGCTCTTCTCACACCGCCAGGTTGTTGCAAAGTTCATTAAATATCCCGATTATCTTTCTCTGTTGCTAAGCACGCTGACCTGGCCAAAATCTAGTTGGAGAAGTGATCTTTGAACCTTCACTTCCTTAAGTTTAACGTCAAAATCCAGCCTCTGGTCAAGTCTTCCTACAGTTGAAAGAAAAGCAGCAACCTCCACGCATTTTTGCACCTTTAAGTCATTGATCATTAGCACCAATTTAGGATGAGGGAAAGCGATGATGTCACACCCATTCTGTGTATGAACAGATTGAGT